GTATTGTATTTAACAAATTTTAGTTTTATTTTCATGATTTTTTGCCTGAAAAGGTGTACAAAGTGTAGATGCATAAGACAATAGAAAGAGGGACAGAAACAGAAATAGCAACAACACAGACTAAACAGAGACAGACAGACACATGCTTAGAGATACATGTACACATATGTACACATACACCTTAATGGTTAACTCTGGTGACAAAGCACTTGTGGAACCATCTCAATGTAAACAATAAATTAAAGTTACAGAGGACTTGTTATGTTTTTTTCCATTCAGGTCCATTAGGTGAATAGAGAGATCATGCTAGGTAGTTTGATTGTGATTCTAACCCCATGGATCCCAGTGATGTAGCCATCATGTCTTGAAGAAATATTGCTGAGTGGTGGATGATATGGACATGCTGTCATGGAAAAATTGAATGAGGGCCTGGGAGATGGGAACTTGCTGATAATTTCAGCTGTAGGATAGGGTGATGGAAATGACTTGCCATTGGTTCACAAAACTCATGATGGGCGATTAGACTCAATGGGCTTTTAGGAAGGGGCTCTTGCATTATTTCTGTAGGTAAATGAGTGTTGCATATGCCATCCATGAGCCATAACTGGAAGAGCTCTGGCTCCAGGAAGTACACTTTTTCCATCCTTAGGATCCTATTCCTATTTATATATTATTTATATATATAATCATATATAATTATATAATTTTATATATATATATATATATATATATATATATATATATATATATATATATATATATAATGTATAAATAAATAAAAATATGTATGTATGTGTGTGTGTATTTATAATAAATAAGTATTTATAATAAAAATATATATGTATATATATAATATATATATATATAATATAATATATATAAATATTTATGTATATATATGTATGCATATATATATATATATATATATATATATATATATATATATATATATATATATATATATATATATATATATATATATATATATATATATATATATATATATTTGCCCTGGATTTATGTTCTGCTCCCTCTAGTTTTTTGTGAATGTTGTTACATACAGATGGCTCCATGTGTGCTCAGCTGGCAAGAAGTCTATCAGTAACCCTAGTGACTGATCTTGATTTCCCCATTCTTTGAATTGGCGGGAAAATGTGTTTTCTTTTTAATACTGTTATTATTATTATTGATGTTATGATTATTAAATTGTTATTAAAATCTCAATAACATTTAAGACAATCAAATAATGCAAAAGACCCTTTCCAAAAGTCAAGGAAAAAGGGTAACAGGTGAGATAGGTAAGACTAATAGCTTACTCTTTGGTGACTAAGCACTTGTAGAGGCACTTGTGTGTAATTACATCAAATAAACTTGTATTACATTGGGCATGACATGTATTATTGCTGTACAGGGCAATTGGGTTAACCCAATGCCAACAGGCATGAAGTGTACATGTATGCCATATATATTATGTATATATGTTATGTATATATTATATATGTACATATATTATGTATATATTATGTATGTACAGATATTATGTATATATTATATATGTACATATACATATTCATATATATACATATATACATATATATGTACATATACGTACATATGTATATATATACATACTATATATATAAATGTTTTTATACATATATGTGGTATATATAAAATATATGTTATATATATGTGATATATATAATTAAGATAGCGTCCAGGTTTCACTACCATATTGTAAAACCGGCAGTATCAGGGCCTTGAAGACACATAGCTTGGTCCTTCTGCACAGGTACTGGCATCTCCAAATACTCTTGTCGAGAGATTTCATGACCCCTACTGCCAGGATCTCTTAGTAGGCCCCCAAAATCCTGGATCTTGGTCTTGGTCCAGGAGACCTCTAGTCCCAGTTGCTCCACAGTGACTTTGGACAGTAGCCTTGAAACAGCAATGCAAAACAAAAGAAACATTCTGTGCTGACATAAGTAACCACCCACATGCTGGAAGGATGCCTTCACATCATCTACCCAGTATCCAGTCCACATCCTTGCCTCACTCCTGAACTAACAGGGAAGAAGCTCAAGAGGCCCCCACCACACTTTACATCACTTTCAGTGCCAGTCTACTGGTTTGCTATTAATCCAATTATCCTTGTTGGAATTTCTCCCAGAGCCTTCTTGAGGTCAGTGTAAGCTGCGAGCAGCCCATGTCCCAAACTCACGATATGCTCTGCAATGACTTAAAGTGCCATGATGTGGAGTACCTTGCCAACTCACGATGGTGCTCTACAGTGACTCAAAGTTTATTGTGGACATACTAGGAGTGAATCCAGAATGCTGTGGCCTCAGGGGTTTCTGATATGTCTCAGGAGGATGTGCGCGAGTACCTTGCTTGGTATATTGTGTTGTGTAATGCCTTGGTTATTGCTGCAGTCCCACCGATCCCCTTTCCCCTTCCAGAGAGGGATGAGCACACCCCTCAGCAGGTTAGGGGCAATGGTACCAGTCTGCCAGATAGCAGACCTCCAAGAGACCTCTAGTCCCAGGGCATCACTTCATTGTTAAGTGCATCAAGAGCCGTCACTAGGGTTTCCAGAGATTCAGATTGAATAGCAACATCATCATCAAAGTCAAGGTCTGTAGCCTTGATTTTGCCTAGAGTTGCTCCACAGTGACTTTGGACAGTAGCTCTACCCAGTATCCAGTCCATGCAAGTGTTGAAAAGTGTTGGTGCAAGAACACAGCCTTGCCTCACTCCTGAACTAACAGGGAAGAAGCCAGAGAGGCCCCACCACACTTTACAGCACTTTCAGTGCCAGTATACTGGTTTGCTATTAATCCAATTATCCTTGTTGGAATTTCTCCTAGAGCCTTCTTGAGGTCAATGTAAGCTGCGAGCAGCCCATGTCCGAACTCACGATGGTGCTCTACAATGACTCAAAGCTCCATAATACGGCTTATTGTGGACTTACTAGAAGTGAATCCAGATTGCTGTGGCCTCAGGGGCCTCAGCAGGTGGTTTCTGATACATCTCAGGAGGATGTGTGCGAGTACCTTGCCTGGTATGTTGTGTAGTGTAATGCCTTGGTTATTGCTGCAGTCCCACCGATCCCCTTTCCCCTTCCAGATGAGCACACCCCTCAGCAGATCAGGGGCAATGGTACCATTCTGCCAGATAAGACAGGACAGCATGCAAGCCCCTTGCCATACGTTCTCTACCAGCCTTTCACTGTTCAGTTGGGATGCTGCAAACACCTTCTGCTTTACTACTCTTCAGCTTGGAGATTGCCCTCTCTGACTTCAGTCAGGGAGGGTGGATCCTCGCTGATGGGTGGGTCTGGTAAAGGACTCTCAATATTACCCACATCCAAATTAATTGTTTTTGATCTACCTGGTACAACTCCTCAAGATACTCACCCCAATGCACTTGCACCCCTTCAGGATCTGAGATTATCTGGCCACTTGCTGAGCGGAATACAATTGTTTGTGAGGAGGGCTTTCTCAGGGCTTGGTAGGCAGGATGAAGGTCAATTACTAGGAAATGGCTTTCGACCTCCTCTGCAGATTCCTGATAAACTGTTCCTTATCCCTTCTCAACAGTGACTTAGTTGCGATCCCCTGACAATCTAACTGCAAGGCAAGCATCTGTGGCTTCCGGTGTCTCCCGCGCGATGAAATTCTGTCCTGCTCTTGGGCATTCACCAATCAATTCTTGGGCTGCATCAAGTGTTTCATGCTCGAAGGTGTCCCTCAGAAGAACAGGGTCCATCAGGCCCCTGAGTGCTGTGAAACGACCAGAGATAGCCTCAGCACACTCACCCTCCCTCAATCTGTCCACATGAAGCACCTAAGGTGTTCATGGGGAGGTTCTAAAGTGGACCCAGAGAGTAGCCACAACTAATCTGTGATCAGTTCCACAGAACTTGGCAGTCTGATACACCCTGCAGTTCTGGAGGATCCTCCATCGAGTGCTAATGAGGATGTGGTTGATCTCCTTGGCCACATTACCCGTATTGCTGTACCAAGTCCAATGATGTTGGTCAGAACTCTGATACTAAGAGTCTGAGATCCTCAATTTCTGGGACCTAGGAAAGTCACGGAAAAGGAGGCTATTCTCACTGCCAGCATCAACTCCTGAGCCATGAGGACCGACAGACATCTTATAGCCAGCTTGGTTCAACCAGAACATTACGAATAACTTGCCAAGGACCGCTGTCTGTCAGATGCAAGTGTAGCATAAAACAGCTCTCACATCAAGTTTATACACATCTGTAGGAGTGTACACAACAATAAGAGACATGAAGCCAAATGTAAGCTTCAGTCTCAATACCATTATACGCTCATCTAAAGGAGTGACCTCTACTACCGGGGGTTGAAGTCTGCTGGAGATGGCTATGGCTACTCCCTGGAGATGGTGGCCCTCGCGGCAGCCCAACCAATAACAAGTGTAGCCACCCACACTAATCGTGCTGCTGCTGGACCTACTCACCAAGAGAGCCGCCACCTCAACTCTCAGCTGCTTTAGTTCCCTTGACAGTAGTGGTAACCGATCGTCCTGTCGCAAGGAACGGACGTTCCAAGCCCCCATGTGAACGCCACCTCTACCACCCCCATCAGCACCGCCCCATATGGAGAGGCTGGCTGCAGGTTCCATGGGCTTTCCCTCACAAGCCTCACGCCAGGTTGGCGGCCGCCGGGACGCAAATGGGACAATGAGTAACCACCATTTCCTAACCAAGTCCCAACTGTCACCAACCCAGTGGGACCCACAGCCCGCCTTACTTGCTGAGTAGGAGGGACGTTAACCCTCCCCCCAACATCTATATGATTTGCTGCCAGTTCGGTTATCTTGGGTTGGCAGACTGGCAAGGCCTACCTCCTCACAGCTGCCCATTAACCCCAGGGGGCATGTTGTTCGAGGTCATGGCTCTGACTTGATCTGATAGCCCAGAGACTGGACAACACTACCAAGATATGTAAGGCTCTCTGTTCAACATCTTC